GTTACTTTAACGCTTTTTTGCGTTACTTTTCTAGTAACGCAGTAACGCTTGCGTTACTCGTTACCAGTAACGCAACAACGCTTGCGTTACTCGTTACCAGTAACGCAATAACGCATGCGTTACTCGTTACCAGTAACGCATAATATAGTAACGCTTTAGTCGCATTGTGTCCGGAAGGTGATAAAACAATACATTTTCGGTTGTTCGTCACTCATACGGTGATATTTGAAAGCGTTGCTTTACTCAGTAAAGTAACGCATCAGTAAAGAAAATGTGCCACCCCTAGTCCCAACATCGATTATTAATCGGTGTATCCCTATTTCGAAGGAAGATCTTTATATATTTATATCACTAGAGTAACACTACAGCCTTAATCACGAATAAGCTAATCATGATTAAATGTAGTGTGACCTCATGTTGTCAAAATCGCCTAAGTTTGGATGATTCATCACGTTTTTCGAAAAAACAAACGATTGATCGTGATTTCGGCAAAAAATCGTCGATTTTTCGAATATTTGTGATTAATCGCGGTTAATCGACCGTCTCTAATTAATAAAACTTTTAGTGACTGTTCTTGTTAATCAATCTTGATTAATCGGCGATTTTTCTGTCTTTTTGTCATCACCATTTTGTTTTGCATCAGAAGATATATCTAAAAAACACGAATTTCAGTCGCAGTTTTATTCTCTCAGATTACCACTTCCCTTTTTAGATCAGTTGTTTTTGAAGACATGCTCAGAGTGTTCTCGAAACTGGCGACAACTTAAGTAAACACAGTTAGTAAACACAAACAAGTAAAACTGTACAGTTTTACTTGGTTTTTTTACTTTGATATTTTCGTTTTGAAAAGAATAGCGATAAAAACTGCCCAGATAACATAATCTCACGATATATCGGGCAAGAAATTGCAATTCATCGGCAATATTTATCACATGAGAATTAAGAATAGGAAAACCGAAAAGAAAAGAACGCTCGAACCGGTTGGTGATGAAAAAAATCGTGAGTTTGAGAGATTTTATCGCGATAAAATCTCACAATTAATCGGTATGACAAATCGCGATTAAATCGTCACTTTCATCACACGGGACCATTCTAATCACTTTTAAATGTATACATATTTGTTAAATTGAATAGCTATTGAAAGTTTCTCAAAATGCAGTCAGTGAATAAATACAGACGTCAGTTGCGCTGCATCGAGGTATGCACCAGTACTGGGTACCAAAATAGTTTGGGCATTCTAACAAAAAATGTTTGGTACCTAGACAAAGCGATACCATTGAATGCGGATATTTGTAGATTAATATGTTTCTCGGCATTACAGAAATTATGCGCTTATGCTATACAAATTGTAGAACGGTATCTAATACCTCAGTTGAATTTTATACAATAGCATAACTACTTACTTTTGCCCTTTTAAAATGGGTGAAAAAATTCAAGCTATACAGTACTAGACAGCGTTCTAAGCTTTATATCGCTTAATGACGTTTCTGTAATGCATAGAAATATTAATCCATACTTAAACAATATCACTTAATATCCGTAGGTTTACCAAACTATTTGGGTACTCAGTAAATACTGGTACTAGTGCATACCTAGCTGTTAGGTGTATAGTCCATTTATAGTGTAGTGTTTTTTAAGTATTTTTAAAGAGTAGTTGTTCAGTTAAGTGTTTTGCAGATAGCCTAAAGAACGTACTTGGGGCCAAGTACTTCGTCTGCGTAATGAAGCCGGTACTTGCCTTTTTTCAAGAAGTAAATTTACTTGTAAGTACTTGTCCTTATTTGCCAGTTAATTTCAGAAAGTACGTCTCAGCAATAAGGCAAGTATTTCGATCAATGACAAGTACTTAGCAAGTAATCAAGTACGGTCTCTAGGGTAATTTCATTGATCAAAAATGCCATCAAGCTTACACAGAGAGGGAAACGAAATTAGTACGAAGAGGAAACGCACATCATGATCCGAAAATGGAACAATCACTTTGTTAAACATATTGGAAGACGGTTTTGGAGTACTTTCCCTATTTATTTACTGTTTTTAATCACGATTAGCCTTTGATCATGATTAGCGCGGTCACATTATTTATCTAACCGTGATCAGAAAAGTGTTAATCATGATTAAAAAAGGAATATACGTCAGAATAGAAGGAGAAAAGAGCTTAAACATAGTCGAAAGCAGCTATATTACATATGTCTTATTCGGGATACTTTTGTCTATATACTCACTCATAAATCAGTGATGATATAGTTGATCTTTTCCAAATGAGAACAAACGGACTTAAGTTATGTGAGTAGTCGATTCTTCATAATGAGACATAGTAATGGAATAACAAAAACGAAAATGAGAATATTTATTCTTCTATCACTTCGTATACTTCACATTAAACGTATTCGTTCTATTTCAGTTTGTTACGGCCCATCTCTAGTTACAGAGTATATTAGTCCTTCAAAAAGGGTTTCAGAAGAACAGAAACGTCTGTTTATCTCTTTCTTTTCTTTTTGCTATCGCTCGAAACAGACCTGGACAGACTTTTTGTTTTCTCTATATCGTCATGTATCCATGTGGATATATATATATATGTTTCCATTAGACGTGCATGCACTTTCTTTTCTATCTGTTATATTGTTTTATTCTCTTTTCCTTCACTATGTCGTTCTGTCGTTATTTTTCTTATATATTCTCTCTGAAAAAAATAGGCAGTTGTTGTTTCTAAACCCAAAAAGGTACAGTAGCACATTTGAGGATATACAAAGTATTTTAAGTAAATAAAGGTTTTTTTTACCAATGTCACAAAACCCTAAAAAATGCTTAGTACTAATTCATGCACATCTTGATAGGTTTCGTTGGAATACAGTTGAGGATAATTCACCGACAGCTCGGTATTCTCTGGAATACGAATAACGTGTATATCCTTCCGATATTTTCTCTGATTATGGTTAAAAACAAAAATTATTTTACGCCTTGTCTGTCGATTGAGTCCTCTGTCATACATTGAAGTCAGACTTTCTCTAGGACTATTTTTTCTTGTTTGTAATGAAAGTTTTCTGTTGTAAATAGCAAAAAATTCGCTCGTATTTATAATTTTCCTTTTGTTTTTTTGCTTGACGTTGTATCAGAAAACAGAAAATTTGCTTATATATTTTTTTTGAAACTATATTATTATATGTCTTGTTGTGCCTATAGGTTTCCAACATTTAGGATCTTATTATGATCCGTTTGGGACAATAATGCTTTCTCAACTATTGCATTTTCTTAAGATCTAAATACCCTCCTAGCAGTATTCTAAGAAATCCTATGACGTTCGGGCTTCCGAGATTTCATTAGGAGTTTGTGAAGATTCTGAAGCACACATCAGCAAAAATCCCAGTAGGATTCCGGCAGGATATGTCTAGGATCATGCGAGGAAATTCGTAGATCTCTTACCAGGACTTCTTCGGGATACTAAATGTCCTCATTTGAATCAGAGATGTAACGTCCCAAAATTCTTAGAACGGTACCATTCCCGTTCTGAAAACTCTTTACTGAAATACCTTGCGCGTTCTCGGTTATAACTCTGATTCGAATGGCCTACATAGGGAGAAATGCAAGGGGGAAAAGCGGACTCCTGGACTCCTATGGACTCCTGAAGTCCAGGAGTCCAAGTGCAAAGTGTTCTTTTTTGGGAATTACTTCCCAAAAAATGAACACTTACTCTTTTTTGGGAAGTGATTCCCAAAAAAGAACACTTTGATAGAGAACACAGATGATAGAGGAACGATATAGCAAAGCTGAGGCTTAAACGAGCTTCTGCTCTGCTGAATTAATATACGTATGACATTCGATTCTAACGTGTCGGGCGGAGATTTTTTTAATTTAGTATACCTCGCGGTAACCATCCAAGAAAGCACTTGGACTCCTGGACTTCAGGAGTCCACAGGAGTCCGCTTTTTCCCCCTTGGAGAAATGTCTGATGTTCACGTCTCGTACCTTACATGATTCTCTGTAAAACAGTTCATTTAATGTTTTTCAGATACTATATATGATGGACGTCATATTTCATAGTCAATCTTTTCTATTTCTTTGGCTCTCGCAGCCAGGACATTATTTTGACTTCTCTTTTCGACTACAGGGTTACCACCTGTTGTATTATTCCTAAATATTTTTTGTCTTCTATTATTTATAGATATTTATATTTAGTTTATCAAGTTCATCCTTCTGAACGTTTAAAGTAGGCATATATAGCGTAACACACAAAGAAAATAAGAACCGTTCAGAAATAAACAAAAAAAATGTCCATCAACTCATTGCTAAATTTCAAGAGTTTGTCACCAACATCTACATCTGTCTATTATTTAATTCATTTGAATATTATGTTTTATTCATTTTTCTTCTGGTTCAATCAACCCGTATTCCCATATTTATCCCAATCATTAGGCGCAAGTGATGTACAAATCAGCTATTTGAATTCATTCAATCAACTAATGCAGTTACTTGGCACATTTTTAATCGGTCGAATAATTGATGTTCGCGGAGCGAGAACAGCCTTGTTAATTTCACATTTTTTTTCAACTATCTCTTATGTATTATTATATTATGCTAATTCAGTTGAATTATTATTTTTGTCGAAATTGCCCACATTTCTAATGTCTGCAATGCATTCGAGTCAAGCTTATGTAGCATATTTGAGTGACGAAAATGATCGTGCAAAAGCGTTGGGTCGATTAAGTTTAAGCTACGGCATTGGTTTTATTGTTGGACCATTCTTAGGTGGAATGTGTAGTAAACATATTGGATATAGTAATATAGCGTTGGTAGCAGCAGTTGGAGAATTTCTTGTGGTACTAATTTTATTCATTTCATTACCTAATTTTACTGTACAGAAGCAACAACAGCAAACAGAAAAGAAGAGTGATGATACAAATACAAACAAATCGAACAAGACTAGTGTATTTCATGCATTAAAGCTATTACAGAAGTCTCCATCGCTCCGATCAATAATCTTGATTAAATTTTTATGTGCATTAGGTTTATCAACGTTTCATTCAACTTTTATGATTTTAACAAGGCGATATGGACTAAGTGCACAAGAGAATGGGATGGTATTAAGTTTTGTTGGCGGTCTGACAATATTTGTTAATACATTTGTCATAGCATATGTTACCAACAGATATTCAGATAGTCGAATAGTTAAAGTCAGTTTAGTCAGTTTAATCATATCATTTGCATGTGTTAGTTTAGCAACTAATTCAAAATTATTGTTATTTCTCGTATTACCGATTACATTGGGCGGTTCAATTTCGGCAACAATCTTAACAAGTTTATTAACTAAAACTATTTCCGTTGGTGAGACCGGTACTGTTTTGGGTCTTGATATGGCCGTCGGCAGTTTTAGTCGAGTTATAAGCCCAGTTCTTGGTGGATATGTATTAGACTATTGGGGTCAAACAGTTTTGGGTCTGTTTGTTAGTGTTTGTGCTCTAGGCGCTGCTCTTCTAGCAATAACACAGTTCAAATGGCCAGTATCGAGTCTTACTGTTAAGAGCACTAGAAACACAGATTTGTCTACAACCTTAAAAAGGGAACTTTGATAGCGAGTTATTTTTTTGTGTGTGTTTGACTGTAGATTTTTAATATTTTGTTTTCATTTTGTACTTAAATGTAAATAGTCGTAAATAAAATGTTGAATAACTGACGCCAATATCTAATAATTGCAACAGATGATAGAGGAACGATATAGTAAAGCTGAGGCTTAAACGAGCTTCTGCTCTGCTGAATTAATATACGTATGACATTCGATTCTAACGTGTCGGGCGGAGATTTTTTTAATTTAGTATACCTCCCGGTAACCATCCACAGTGGGCATCCAGGCGAAAGTTAGGCAAAAAATCGAAGTTTCTCGTTTTCAAAAAATAAATAGTGCAAAATGTAGCCCTTCAAATTCTCTGTCGAATGGTGTATAAATGTCGATTTTGATATCGACTCCTTTGAGGAAAAATTAGGACACAAAAACTGCATTACATATATGGTAAAACAGGATACATCATAGAAAATCGGGATTGTTCGCTCTCTCAGTAATGCTAAGCAATTCGAAAGGACATATTCAAAATCAGTAGCTCCTCAGCTATCTTCTAATAATAGAATGTTTATACTTTGACATCGAATTCAATAAGTAGCAGATCATGGATTTCTCATAACGATAGTGGAAATGACACTACCCTAGTACAGTCGCATCGCCATCCTTAGCCAGCCTCAAAAACAACATACAAATACATCAAAATGTTCCTCAGACACTACGCTATTTATGCTAATCTCGCAAAATCGTGCAGCTCTTTCCTGACGGCTTTGTGAATTTTCCAAAACCCCTAGTGGTTTTCGGGTATTTGAGAGATTTATTCGTCAAGAAAGCACTTTTTCGTACAAACAAGCCCAGATTTGAAATCAGCGTGGAAAACTGCATCGAATGGTGTATAACCTGGCTATAATGGTGGCATTTTTTTATAAATATTTCATCGATTTTCTAAAAAAAGGTTTCAGTTTTTTAGAAAATTTGAGTTAAATTTTCTAGAAAATCCTAATCAAATTTAAAAAACTAGAAAATTATATTTTCAAAGAAACAGAAAATCGAAGCCTATTTACTATATGAACTCTTTGAAAATCGAAAATTCAAATTACAGTTTAGAAAGTAGACAAATTTCTAATTTTACTTGCATGTTTCTTTTTGTGTACTTTGTAACCGACTAACTTGAACTAAGACTGAAAATAGTAGAAAATTAACAAGTTAAAAACTAATATAAAGGTGCCCAATGGATGAAGCAATAGCACCATTGAAGTCGGTACTGTATACACCGAACAAGTTTTCGGCTGAAACCACACGGATTTTAACAGTGGGAGTCGACGCAAGATAATAAGTCTCAATCTCCATAGAAGTTGTTCCACTCAAAAGGTAAATGATTCACGAAATAGGACCAAATTCTCCTTCTGACTGTACTTCAGAACTTACTTATTTATCCATAACATATATACTCTGCCGTCACAGACTCCATCCTTGCTCGTTTCTCTGCAACGCTGAGACACTGTTCAGTGACTCTCAATAATGTTCACGTACTTGCGCCGTCCTTTACCTAGTCACCCTTCTTTATCGTTTAATGTAAGCGATCTGGTTATTGTCTTCTTACCTCCATCTGGAGCTTTCCACACTCTAGCTAATCTGAATATTGTTCAGATACAACCATTCACTGGTTAAGAATGAGTCACTTAGTGGATGCTTCTTTTCCAGATAGCGATCATCATTTGTATACTTTCGGTAAGTACTATGTGGGGACAGTAGTCAGGCTATCCCAGAAAAGACTTTGCACGGTTTCAAAAGTATCTTAAACCCATGATTCATATGCCAGGTTTTGTACAGTGTCTCTTAGCGACAAAGGTAATGGTATATTGGTTGTGGGTTGATTCCTTGTGGTTGCTGAGATCGGGATACCTATACCAATTAGGTGATGAATGGATCTGACGTAAGAGCAAAGATCTGGATTCCGGAAAGAAGTACAATGAAATATTTTTGATCAATATTCTTCTAGAGCGATGAGAGCTCTACAAATGTATTGTTTCGTAGACATTTACAACTAGGTTTTGTGAGAGAAACAGGTCAATTTTGAAAAAAATCAACAGATTCATATTACACTCATACAGTAAAATGTTCGTAAGTCCAAACCAGATACAGAACCAAATTTTATATTTGTCAGAAACTGCGTGCGTGTTAACTCTATTGATTTGGGGGTCTAAATCTAAATGCGTCTAGAGAAAAAATTCTTTTATTACTCTAACTGTGATATACCAGAAAATGCTATTCGTTTACTGTAATTACTGACCTTTGATGAGAATGATGAAAATCAAATCTGATGTCAAAAGCCAAAGAGTTAATTCGAACCATGTCGTAAAACGAAAATCTGAATTTGACACCGTCAGATTGCGTAGATTCTGACTGCTAGCATAAAACCTTATTTGATCATAACAAACAGCAAGAAAAATGCCCGATTTTCTGTGGTTTCTTGAGGGAAATTTGTAACTTTTCAAGAGAATATACAAAAAGTTAAAAAGTATCTTATATTATATGCTCTATAAAACTGCAGTTGTAGAAAATTTTTCCTGATCTCTCAGAACAAAAACTCTTTCGAGTTTTTATATGTTTCAGCAGAAGATTTTATACTGGTTATGGGAACGTTGTACAGTGTCAGTATAGACGATCTCATCGCCTCTCTAAAATCGAAAAAATTTTCGTCTAAGAGGTAGGAAGGACAAGTGGACCACTTTGAGCCGTCAACATTTGATGTAAATGTTTTTGGTGGAATTTTAACCTTGGACATGACACCAAGCGGCAAAGACATGTTTACAACATAACAGAGATTCTGGGATCCTAATAAAACCCCTATGAAAAACAGCTGTCTGATGCTAAATGTAAAATTTTTCTGATCACTAGTACCAGAGTGCAATTTTCTCTCTCTTTGTATCTCCGAGAGAAGCGTTTCCGGGATATTCCTTAGTTTCTATGAATATTTACGTACAATTTTGATCTTTTCAGCGCTTGTGAGTAAGGAGAGAGTTCTATATTGCACTTCACGTTCAGATCGATCATTTGCTGTTTGCGAAAAAGCTTTTATATTTCATATACAAACGGCATTCCACAAAACTCTAGCAGTACATTATGCGTTGAAAAAATGATATATTTTCAAACTTTAAAAGTCTTGTAATTGCTTCCTAACATGCACTTTTTATGCCATAAAAAAACAAAAGTACTACAATTAAATTTGGCAAATGCTGTAATTTTCTGTAACAGTTACATATGACCTCCGTCGATTGGTAAATCGATGGCAGTAATAAACGATGCATCTTCCGAACACAAAAATAAAATTGGCCGTGCTATTTCTATTGGTTCAGCACATCGATGTAACATATACTGCGGAGCTAAACACACAGACATGAGAATTAATTTATCTTAGCCGACCAAATGAATACACATACCAAAAATTGGTTCCCATTTTTCACGTCCACCTGGACCAGGTAATGTATTTAGAAGCTGAAAAATTCACATGGACATAAAAAGCCAAGCCTCTCGGTACCATAGTATTGAGAATGTCAACTTACCGCGGATGTCCAAGTACCAGCTGGTGAAACAGAATTGACACGAATACCATCTTTACTTAAATCTAATGCCTAAATAATAGCAAATTATAACAGTGATGTTTCCTTCAATGTGTTAGAAAAGAATTCTTACCATGCATTTTGTTAACGTTAAAACAGCTGCTTTACTACTATTGTAAGTCCATTTATTTGCCTCAGGACGAGAACCCGATACTGAGGCAATATTAATAATTGAACAACCTTTACCTCAAAGATATAAAATAGAAAGATGAAAAAAGAAATCCGACGGAAATAATGGGTTTTTCATGAGAAAAATGGCTTTTATTTTTAGATTACGTTGGTATCTAAATTGGATTAAAATCGTTCGAGTGTCGCGTGAAAGCACTTTTCGACGACCAAAGTACGTCGGCTTTATTCAAAAATGTGTCATCTTTCCAAATCTACCATTAAAAAGCATATAAACTTACAAACTCTTTTTGAACCCAAAAAATTACTATAACCTCTAAAGTTCAGAAAAAGCCTTGTCTTTTTTTATGTTTTCTCTTGCGTGACCCAAAGAAAGAAGAGAATTTAAAAATGTGCGCATTTCTAGTGCGTATATGTGTTCTCTAACTCTTGTCAATACTCTTGTTTCTTTTTCATTCTTCCATTCTATGTAAATATAGTTATCTAGCATTTTTCTAGACTAAGTTGTTTTTACTTACGTGACTTGTATTTTTGTGGTCCTACCATTTATGATGGAGTTATTCTCTCTTTCGATAGACACAAACAAATCCTTTCTTCTTCTTTCAATAAATAGCTTGTAACAATCAAAAAATTATAAACTCTATACAAAATTTATTGCTCTATCGAATGAATGCAGTTGAGCGAAAATAAAAAATCACTTCAGAAGTCAAAATTCCAATCAATGTCATATTCAGAACTGGACCTAAAACTGCATCAGGTTCTGTATCTCACTATGGCTTTTGTACAACTTGTTTCTTTGACTGAAAGTCAAGATCATATAAAAAAAGTTGTTTGTCTGCGCGTTTCATTGTCCGCCTACAGAACTTAGGTGAAAAACATATATTTTAACTCCCGCTTGATTCGCGATGGTGCTATAATCCACCTAGGAACTTATTTTCGATAGATACCTCTAGTGTGCGGCTTGTTGTGATAGATTGCACTAGTGTCAATCGCGGTCTCGTTCTTGGGAGGTGTCAAAAACCCCATAGTTCCACAAAGTTTTAAAACATTTATGAGTTCTCCCTAAATATAGATGGCGTCAAGGAGCGCAACACAGGCGCTATTATCAAGATCATGTAAAACTTCGTAATAATGAAACCGGTGAAACGCTGAAAAAGAGGACTGGTTCAACAGACGAGGTGAGCAGAAAATTACTGGAAGAGTCAGATATGATTGATGCTTCAACGTCCCAGATACTATGGACGCTTTTTTCATTGTCAACATAAGGTGGCACGAGCAGTCATTTTCAAGCTTACTCTCTTTTTGACTTTACCTCCGGCTTTTTTCATAAATGGATGAACAGCTTGTACCGTGAATGCATAACCACTGACATTCGTCGTAAATGTTTTATTAAAATCCTCTAATGTAGCATCCAAGCCTTTGAAGATGAACGTTGCTGCTATATACAGAAAAATAAAAGTAAATCATCATTTTCTTAGGAATCATTGAAATATTACGATGTGTGTGAGGTGATTAGCCAATGATTTTCTTCGTACTTTAATGCGGTAAAATTTGAAATGATTACCCAGGGGGAAACCACTGAAAAATTGCTATTAAGTAATACTTGAACTTAGGCAAACCTTCGAAGTGCTTTTAAATTACCTCCATTGACTAGATGATGTATCACACCTCCATTTTGTTCTGCAAATTTATATACAGCATTTTTAACGTCGCCAAATGAACATACATCCACTAAAAGACAGTTATTTTTCGTTTCTTTAAAAGCACAGAAAGAAAGAAAGAGAAATTACCTTTATAAAATGTAACATTTTTTCCTTCTGATCTTAACTGTTCTTCAGCCTTTTTTCCTATTTCTTCATCATAATCGAAAATAGCTACCGTAGCACCTTCCTTGGCAAATTCATTAACAGTTGCATAACCAATACCACTTGCACCACCTAAATAGCTTAGTCAAATTAGTGTTTCAAGACCACTCCAAAACAAATGCTGTGTATTTACCAGTTACCATGCAAACTTTATTTTTAAATCGAGACATCGTGACGTGATGTAATGAACGATGATTTTTCTCAATTTAATCAAATAAATGTATTTTTTTCCCTTTTCCTTTCCTTTTCTTCTGGATATCTTCATGTGTGTAATCTAGAAGAAAGAAAAGAAACGACATTCTTTCTTTCTTTTTCTGCATGTTCTTTTTCCCATCCATCGAACACTTAATATGACATACTCGTAGTTCACTTGAAAAATCATTGTTCGATTAAAAGAAAAATTGCTTACGTTAAGGTCATGTCTTGACGTCTCAAACAAATTATATGGTGTTGAAATCCAGAAGAAATGCAACATACGAGTACCATAAAGCCAAATGCTTATTTCATCATCTTTTTTTACTGAATGAATTATTGTCGTGGTCAAAAAAGTAGATTCACTATAGATGATTAATTTAAGCATATTTATTTCTAAAGCTGATAATGATCATACAAATGAAACTATGAATATGTACGGCAAGTCGGGCAGGCCCACTGTGTGCCAGCTTTCTTGCACACAAAAAGACTTAAGGGGGCCCCCCCTCAAAAATCGATCTCAGTCCAGGCAAGTTCAAATGGGCTGAATTTTGGGGCATATGTTGGGGCTGGAGTGAGGATGCTATGGTAAAATTTTCAGCTCGATACTCTGACGTTTGACAGAGATATGAATTAAACAAGGGTCGAAAAATAGCTCACCTCATCTCCAAAAATTCTCTGTTTTTCATTTTGAGTATGAAAGGAACCATCAGAAAGAGTCAATTTGGATTGTTCATACAGGTTTTTGTAGAGTTTTTCACGTCGGATCTTCTGAAAAAAAATCGAAATTCTATCATTTGACTGTGCAGATATATTTCAAAAAATTAAATTATGTTTTTTCGAACACCTTCTATTTCATAAACTTGTTTCGCGTTTTTCTCAGAACATGGATTCGACGGAGTATCTCCAACGCCCTTCTA